CAGTGATCTTGTTCAGCATAATGTTTTCAAGCATGCTGTCAGATGCCTTCCAGAACAGTTCCTTGGGAATTAGCCTGAGATACAGGAAATTGTTCAACCTGTGAAGACTCCAGGCTGTCACCAAGATAAAGGAGACTGTGCTACGTGACCTCCTCTGCTGATGATTGTGCCCTGAATGCTGGATCAGAGCAGAAAATGCAAGCCAGTGTGCACAAATATGCAGCAGCATGTGACAACTTTGGTGTCCTTATCAACATAAAAAAGACCGAAGTGATGCATCAGCCAGCTCCAAAAGCCCAACCCCAAGAGCGCATTATCACGGTGAAGGGACAAAAGCTGCAAGCAGTGGACCAATTTACATACCTTGGCAGTACTCTCTCCCATGCAGTAAAAATTGACATTGAGGTCAACTGCAGAATCGCCAAGGCAAGCTCTGCATTTGGCAGATTATTGACCAACGCGTGGGACTGCCATGAAATAAGCCTTGCTACAAAGCTTAAAGTCTACAGTAGTGCTAACTACCCTGATCTATGCCAGTGAGACTTGGCCTGTATACAGGAGGCACACTAGGCAATTGAACCACTTCCACCTGACCTGCCTCCATAGAATACTGAGTATCCAGTGGCAGGACAAGGTGCCAGACACAGAGGTCCCCTCCAGAGCAGGCCTGCCATCAGTTCACATCCTGCTGAGGCAGGCCATGTTGCAAGGATGCCAGACCATCGCATCCCCAAACAGCTCCTCTATGGTGAGCTGTTTCAAGGAAAGCGATTGCACGAAGGACAAAGGAAGCGATACAAAGATATGTTGAAAGCCTCCTTCACCTTCAAGTCCCTGAAAATTGACACCACTTCCTGGGAAACCCTGGCACAAGATTGATCAACATGGCACACACTGATCCACCAAGGCTGCCAGACATCTGAGGACAGAAGACCAACCATGGCACAAGTTAAGCGAGCACTCCACAAAGCTAGAGCAAATGCCGCAGCAATGATGCCCATATGTCTGCCCGACATGTGATAGAACATTTCATGCCCATATAGGTCTTACCAGCCACCTGCAGACACATCGTGGACAACCCACAATCTGTTAGATGTCAAGGTCCTCTTTGAACACCATGGACGAACATCATGATATCCCTGTTTCTTGAGCTGCATTAATTATCAGTATGCTTCCAGGTACAGTTCAAGGTGCTGATTATTAGCTATAAATTTATGTATGATGTAAGTCCTGGTTATTATTTGACAGAATATCTAACTCCCAAGATGTCAGCTCAGTATAAGCTGACAAGATTGGCATGCCCTTTGTATCATCTATGAGACAGAAAGCATGCTTTCTCTTGTGGCACCTGCTGTGGCTCCCCATCCTGATGGCATTCCATAAAGACTTATGTGTTCTCCTAAGTCTCAGATTAGAGTGGCCCTTGTTGGATATATTTGCAGGGGTGTGTGTGTGTGTTGTTGGTGAAATTTGCCATCTTTATTCTTTTTTTATTGTTCTATTTACATTGTATCTTCTAGCTTGTTTAGTTTTATTTTAAGCTGTCCAGTGTCCATCTGGAGTTGGTCATTGCCTAAATTGAATAAATTAAACTTTCAACATTCTAATAAAATTAATGATTTTATTTCATCTTTATTTTCTTGGACATTAACATTTGTATCATTTGTTTTAATTATGTTCTTTGACAAAATAATACATTGTCCATACAAAACCATACATTATCACTAGCATTTCTCATCCAATTTTTTTTCCATATTATTTCAACACGTTTGTATTTCATTCTATTCACTTCTTGTTTAACACATGTCTTCTACTTATGGAATAAATCATTAACTTGCATTAAAAAAAACTAACCCAATACTACTGAAACAGTGTCAAAACATTGAGTGTTAATAATAGTTTATTGCCTGAGACTTCTGGTGGGCGGAGCCTGACAGTGGGTTGTTATCTTTAACAGCTCTGGAATCTTGGCGTCGTTAATCTGTCTAAACAGCAATCTATCAAGCTGTTTGGCAGTTTATTTATCCTTTCTTTGGGCTTAGAAGAGAGAGATGAGAAACTATGCNCCATTCAGCTGCCTGATAGTGTGAGGGGCATGGAACCAATGCACAAGTTAGGACTATAAAGGACACTAAGAATTTCCCCTGGTTTCATAAGTAAAAAGTAATGCCAGATCACATCACAAATGTCTTTAGTTGAAAGCAACCAACAGTTTCATTCTATCTTTCCCTAGAAGCTGCTATAAGTGCAGAGAAGAACTGCTGTTTCACCAGCTTTATCGTTGTGTGTGTAGATTTTAACATAAACTCACATTGTGTGTCCAATCACATTTGTGACTGGTTTTCACCACTATTACTATAGGTTTCTTTTTGAAATCCTTGGAGTTGGAGACTGTGCAGAGATCTGGCAGAAGCAATCTTATCCAGCACTCTGGCCAACTCCACATTCTGCAGATCAACAAGGCATTAAGGAATTGCTTGGCAACCATAATTATGAATTGTTTAATTCTTGCTTCACATTTCTTATACCACAACTAGACTCAACATCAAGCCACAAAACACATAATATAAATATAGTTGCACAGGAAGAATACCGTTAAATCTATTGCCAGTAAATAAAGACAAGACTTGATAAATAAGAAATTACTCCTTTTAATTACACGAAAGCAACCAAAATTTGTGGAATATTTTATTATACACTTGTAAATGTATTAGTTATTTGGGATGCCTTCAAAAAATACTCATATAGTTCCATTGTTACTTACTGGGGGGAAATGAAAAATTAAAGAAGAAAAATTAAGAGAGAAAAGTTAAGGATCTCTTGAGCATTTATATATAAGACCAATACTATCATTATTTAATTCTACAATAAAATATAAACCACTTTAATTATTTCCTAAATATCTAGCATACAGAGTCGGAATATTTATACTAATAATGAATTCCTAATGGTTTAAAAATTATTAGCTATGTACATTAAAATACAAGAGAAGATTAATTCAACAAAAAATTGTTTGTAATCTTTCTGGACATTCTGGATAATGTTTTTTTTAAACCTGAGCTTTAATATAATTATGTCATAAAAAATAAAGGAATGTTTGCTCACATTATACTTGATTATGTGGTCTATTGCTCCACTTTTATTTGAGATGCATACGTTAGTTAATATAATGCTACAAAGAGCAGTACAAATGAAAAGTGTAAAAGAATATTTAGAATCACAGACCAAAAGTATTATGTAAAAAATTATGGAAATATCAAAAGGGGTGGGAAGGGGGACTATCAAGTCTCCAGGAAGCAAGATAAAAAGTTAACATTGTTTCTGTATTCCTAGAAAATTATGAAATAAAAGGCAGAAATCTGATAAGAGTTATACATAATAAAAAGTGTATGTTTTTATCATATATGAAAATAATTGAAATGCTAAGTGAGTGGTTCAACAAATGATCAGGGAATAAAACTGGGCCGTGTGATTTTTCTTGTTTAATGCCTTTGCTAATATTCAAATTACATGTACATATGATGATTANGATAGATAGATAGATAGATAGATAGATAGATAGATATAAAAATTCTGAAAGATAATGCTTCACTAAGTTATCGGTCAAAAACATACATTTTAATATACATAGCAAAGCTCCTTCACTTGATTAAGACTTTATTGGCCTAAAGAAAAGCTTCAGCTGAATAAAGTTCAATATTACTTCTTCAGTGAAACTATAATAAAAATGATTTGGGACTGCATTTCTTGTAGCAACTACATTCAGGAATGTAGATTTATTTATAATTATTTTGACAGTCTGTATGGGCATTCGAAATATAAATCTATTCTATGGATCCTAACCTGTGGTATCTCTAATAGTTTTTCAAGCAACATCATCTTTGTCACAGAATATATAACATTCCTACATTCCTGTAATTGCTATGGTGGATAAATTTATATGCATTATAATTTGCAATTTTTGTTCCAAAATTCTATCAAAATATTCAACAACAAAATAATATTTAAGGCTTTAGCATTTGGTCCTAGATTTTGCTGAGAATTTGGAAAAAGGCTCATGCCAACTTTGCCATTTTGTATTTCAAACAAAATAGATATAAAAGTTATTTAGAGCACTGGAATATGCAATGTTTATACAAATTGTAACTTTTGGCTATATGACAACCTCCAGTTTTTTTATAACTATATTTTCTAGATTTCCAAGCCAAAAAAGATTTGAGGGAATTGTGTAAGGAATATTGCTTAAGTCCATAGATATGATGACATTTTAAACATTTTTATTTGAAATATAATAAATAACATTTACTGCACAGCAGTACGGTAACTAACTGTATATTAAATACAATTATATCACCCCTGATATTCTAGCTGTGTGATGCTATGTATGTCAAGGTTCCGACAGATGCCCAAATTAAATCATGAGCTTCAAGCCATGTTTCATGTTGCCCCCTCCCTCCAGGGTGTGTCATCAATCACATTCACCAACAGGACAATTTCGTTGCAGAGGTCACTCCCCTCTGGCCGCTGTAAGTAACCCTGGGATACAACCTTGAGAGAGATAAGTCTGAAATGTGTATCTGTCTTTTGCTGCTATGCCGTTTCATCGGTTTCCCATCTCCCCCTTTCCTATGGCAACTCAAGAGCAGGCCAGGGATGCTTTGCAAGTTGACAGTGTACTGTAGACAGTACATAGACTGATCATCTCAACTGGCATTAATCAACAAGCAAATTAACAAGAAAAACATTTGTAGATTTGTTCCAAAAAATTGACAATCTTGCTGTAACAATATCCTATCTTCATTCTCTACATATAATGAACAATTCAGATGACCATCAGTCCCACCCCTTTGGCAATCATTTCAGGTCTATGTATTTTTATCTGTAATTGCCTTCTTTAGCAACTAGAAAACACTGGAAAAGATGGTTCCCATTTAACTTTCAATATTACAGTACAATCTGGAGCTTGTAATACATCAGCCCACATATGACTTATTACTTACTTGATTGCATGTATTGATATCTATTCCTCCTTTTAGATATTCCACTACCTTGTCCAGATTGCCAGCTCTGGCAGCTCGAAGGAAGCTTGCATTGCTATCCGACTGTGAAAAACAAAACAGAATAATATTACTGAATATTCTGAACCTAAGGAACAGAAACACATTACTAAAGGAAAGTGTTCTGTTATGTTACTGATGTTTTTCCCAAATCTTATTCATTCTATTACCCCTCTGGAAAAATTACAACATGAACTTTTTAAAAAACTTTTAAAAATAATAATAATAATTATAATGGCTTCTTTAAAATACACAACACCACTATGTTCCAAAAGGAGCATCAATAATCTCCCAAATCTAATCATTCTTGCCCCATTCAGCTGCCTGATAGTGTGAGGGGCATGGAACCAATGCACAAGTTAGGACTATAAAGGACACTAAGAATTTCCCCTGGTTNTGGCTGGAATTTTAGGGATATCAGAGAATACTGATATCTAACATAGAAAACTAACATATTTTGTGGGGAGGATTCTGCATCAATTGCAGAGAGCAGACGGGAAAGTCCATGAAAAGATGTAAATGTAAGTGTTAAGTGTGCACGCTTTAAATCATATTTCCTTTGATTATAGAACTCTGCATAGATTTGCTATATAGATCACAAGTTTGCTAATACATTTATTAGTGTTTAATATGACACAGGGCACTATGCACTAAATATATTGAAAAAATGCAATAGCTCATTCTGTTGAGACAGTTATGTGGAAGTTATACATATAGTCAAAGGTACTGAGCCTGAAATAAATTAACACCACACTACACATACGATTTAGTTGCAATTATCAATGGAATCAGCAAAAGGTCAGTTGAGCACAATCAAATCTATTTAGAAGAGAGACTGGCTAGAAACCAAATACTGCTTAACTGATTAAATGGATCAAAGCAGGAAAAAAGACACTGATGGAAAAAACTCATGTTGATTTTTCTAGGGATCAGAAAACAGAAGATCAGTGTTTTTTGAGCTTTACACTGAAGTGTCCTATTTAATTTTAAGAAAATACTGCTATAAACCTACAGGAAAGAGATATTTATGAAAGGAAAATAGAAAAATAGTTAAATAATAGCTGTGTCTATCATTGTCTCTTTAAAACTTCAATATTGCATTTCTTTATACTGTATAACCAAGAATCAGATCTACAATTAAAAGAGGTCACATAGAAAAGTGTGACAGGAAAGTATAACACAACTAAGTAGTGTTTATTTTACCATGTCCCATTACTATCACTGTAATATGTGTAAATAAAATTATTTAGTCCTTCTTTATCTAAGGATATTTAGAAGGGCTACAATTCATTTATGGTAGCTAGCAACAATCTCTAAATTTAGAAAATTGTAAACTTCTTGCTTTAAAAAATTATCAGAGCTTCTGCTTTTACTGGCATTTTAGGAGTTATATAATATTACTAACATTCTTTATCTTTTAATTTAATGACAGACAGAGATATGGAGGGGAAGGAGAGAGAGAAGTTACTGAGTATATTTACGCATTTAATTTTTCCTGCAGTTCTTAAAAAATGTCATTTTTATGACAAATTATATGTATGTATGTGTATGTATGTATGTATGTATGTATGTATGTATGTATTTGTGCTGATAAATAAATAAAGGGAGACTANTTTTTCTTTTTTTTTCTTTGGTAGTTGATGGTAAGATGAATTGATGTAAGTACTTAATAATACAACATGACATTGACTATGTAATAGTATACATGTGATTATATGCTATGAAAATGGAAAATAAAAACTTTCTGTGGAAAAAAAATAGTTTATTGCCTCCATTCTAGGTATATATTACAGCTAATAAAACATGTCTACTTATTTTAGTAGCAATATCTAAAATTGAAAAAAGTGAGACAAATATGCATAGGAAGAAAGCCCATAGCTCTTTGTCCTTCTTCCTATTTTCTGAGTTATTATTGGTTATATAAAAGGCAGGATTAATTTGAACAAACCAGTAAAGAATCCATATACACACACATACTTTGACCCTTTCAAAGATCTTTTGTTAGATGACACAGAAGACAAAGGAGGCAAAGGAAGAGACAGAGGCAGAGAGAGGGGGAGAAGGAGACAGACAGACAGAAATATAGAGATATAGATATAGAGATAAAGATAGATATGGACAGTTAACTTTAAGTTAAATAACAACCAAAATAAGCTGTCATTGATTCCTTTTGGTAATGGCTATTTATATTTTCATTTCTATACTTTTTAATATATATTCTAATATACTAAATATTTAAAATATTCTATATATTTCTAATACTGATAAAGAATCTAATAATGTATTTTTGTGCCACATTCAATCTGAATAGCTTATATTAGCTTCCTTCCTTGTGGCATTAATTCACCGAGGTCTGTTGTTAAACATGAAAACTGTCCTTAATCCACCTTAACATGTTTATCTCTTGGTGTGTGCTTGGCATTGAGGTCAGGCAGCCCTGAAGGATCTTTGGAATGTCTTAGGATGCCCTTTGGATTTGGCAGTGGACATGCAGCCTTGCATCTAACTCAAATTAGTTTTCAGTGTGAATGTTCAGGATGCCTATTATATTACCAAATAGTCAGTTCACTTGTAGCCAGAATGCATAACGTGATAATAAAAAATACTTAGCCAATCATATTCTGAATCAAGACTATTAATTGCTTTCAGTCAATGGATACCATAAGGTAATACTTTGGACTTATTAAGGTGTCACTTTGAAAATAAACTCAAATGCTAATTAGCTTTGATTTTTAAAAAGTGATGCTCATTTTGTTCTCTGCAGAATCACATTATTTAAAATCATCAAGAAAAGGTTAAATAACATACTTAATATGATTTTAAAAATTTGTTGTTCAAATTATATTAATTTTCAGGTTTTGAGGTAAAAAGTACAATAATCTACTTTTGTACAAGACATTAACTTACTTTTAGTAGACTTTTAAAATACAGTAATTTTATGCCTCAATAAGTGCTGTCAAATCCCATTAAAATACTATAGTATCAGAATGAAGATAGTAAAATTGCAGTGGTAAAAAGAAGAGAAAGGCTTACTTTAGGGTACTTATGGCTACCATGAAATGTTTGCACTGCAAAAGGCAACAAACAAAGAAAGATATGGCATCCACTGAAATTGTGCTTTCCGGTTGACTTGTGTTGAAAGACCAAACCTGAAGGGACCATGGTTGTGAAGCCAAGTTGGCTGGGCAGCATTCAGCTGTCAGCTGAGTAGCTGTTCAGAATTCAAAAAATGTGGTGGGGATTGCATTTGGCAGGAAACTGGAGGAAGGAATAGAAATAAACATGAAGTGATCAGGAAAGCATGAAACTACCTTTTAATTATTAGGTATTCTCTGCAGCATTGGAAAAATGAAAGCAAGATTATAAAGACATATTTCAGTAGGAGAAGATCAAGATTTTAATCAAATTGGATATGGATGTGCCTAATTATTGCTGCAGTTTGACATTCACCTACTGTGAAAATATGTGACTAAAATAAAGAACTATGTTCATACATCATAGCAACTGCAGGGATATATTATAGAGGAATGTGACTATAAGGTTAACAATTTATAGTAAAGTTTTTTTTAAAAAAAGATAAGGCAATGGGTGGGGGTTAAGCAGATTTTTTTTTCACTGTTTACTTTATTCATCATATTTTCTGCTGAATTTAAGGGTCAATGTGGTTTCAAGATCTTTTTCCAGGACAAAAAAATAATAGTGATTGAAAAACCAAACACTGACCTCCCTAATAGCTAAGGTTTTAGCAAAACTTTAAGATTTCATATGTTTTCAATATGAAACTGCAGAAGTGTGTGTTTCTCCATAGGGTAGCAATAAACCCAATGGAATAGAAGATGTAAAGCAGCAGAATATTTATATATACATATTTATATATTAAAAGAAATCTCCTAAGAGTTCACTTGGTGCTATTCTGCATCAGAATTAAAGGTATTATATAAAAACTAATTATATCATTTGGATACTTTCTTGACAAGAAGTGCTTTGTGTAAATCAGACATAAATAAGCTATTCGAGTTAACTGAATTTGCATTGTCTCATGTCAAATTTACAAAGGATGTTCTTGAAAACAGAAAGATACTATATATTAGGATGTCTATTCTGTGTATTTGTAAAGTAGAAACTGTCAATACTAAAGCTTTATGTTTTTAAACATAGGAGGAAGTTCCTGTGGAACTGGTCCAAATGTTCTTTAATGTTTATTCATTTTAAATCAACTATTTCCATCTGCATTTAAACTAAAGGATTAGAATAATCCTATGATTTCATAACTTGATTCTAAATAATAAAGTGACATGTAATAGAAATAGAATCAATCTATTCAAGGAAAATTGTTTTTTTTTAATGTTCATCTTTTTTGTACACAAAACATTTGAGATATTGAATAATCTTCTGCATTTAAATACTTCATGCACTTCCTATGTAGGCAATGTAAACAGTCCAATCATTTATATATGCAACTGCATAGGCAATATCTTCCATTCAACTTCATATATTTTGCTACTAAGCACGTCATCAATAACATCTTTGTTTCTGCAGCACAGTAGCATATTGTATATAAAAAGGCAGTAAACCCCACTCCCACTACTGAAGGTGTTACTGTTGCTGACAAAATGTTTAAAAACAAACACATTCAGAGAACACCAAGGACTCCGCAGTAGCATTTTCTTGACATGTCAAACATGGCTTCGAACTTCAATGGCAAACAAATAATAGTGATGTTGAACAAATGCACAAAAATACTTGAAGAGTTATAATATATCATATGGTGGGCTGGCACATCTATATGCTATGTAGTTCTTGGCCTCCAAAAGACATTGTATTAGCTTATGTTAATTATATGTCTCCTAAATATAACATGGATTAATCTCTGAATTGCACCGGACCCTATGAGAAACTGATTTTTTATGGTTGAGTATAGTATAGATATTCCAGATCTAATGCTACTATTCTACCTATCAAAACAATACAAAAATAACAGTATAATTTGCTTTATTTAAAATAAAAGAATGCCCAATCTTCAGGAGTGCATATCTATAAATTAG